TACTACGGGGGAGTCCAGCGACATAGCCATTACGCTAACTGCTGGTTCTCTGCCAGTCCGAACTTGAACGGACTTCTGCCATGTGGTTCAGCGCTTTAACCACCATGCCATCTGCTGGCCCTGTCTTTGACATTTTGACTCCCAGGTCGTCTCTACTGACTTTGTTGGCGATACCCACTCGTCCATTTTCGATGCAAAGGCTGGCATTGCACTCAACGACAACTTCGTAAAGGTCATCTCATGGTAAGGGTGAAGAAATCAGAAAGTCTTTGGGAGACTGAAGATGATCGAGTGGGACCTTCTCGACACTCCCCCTTCTCTCCTTCTCCAGGTATGACAACGAATATGGCTACAGTCACCGCGTGGTCGACCTCATCCGCTATATGTTCAGCCGTGACAAGTAACGCAGGAAGCCCCGTCCCCTTTTTTCCCCGGGCTCCGGGTCTGGAACCTGAATCTCCCCTTCCAGCATTCGGCTCCGCTGGGGAATGAGGGCGCCTGGTGTGAGATCTCCGAGCCGCTAGGGCAACAGTGAAATAAAAACTAGAGTGCTCACAACTGCGTCCCCTGTTTCGGCGCCGGTTACCACAGGTTCGGGTCCGGATTCAAGTCCCGACCCACACTTACTCGACACGCCTTCACCACGCCCTTGGCTCAAGCCCGGTTCTACTTCTGTGAAACCGGGATCACGACTGCAGCGCTACGAACAGCGCTGGACCCGGGAGCACCTGGCCCGGGGCGGGGCGGCGGCGCTCTGACGTCACTGCGCGCGCCGCCCTGGGCTGGACTACGGTTCCCAGAAGGCCGCGCGCGGTCCGTCGCTGGTCGAGTGGGCGCCAGTCCACCGCCGGGCTAGAAGAACTCCGGGGCAGGGAGAGACCCGCGCCCGGAGAGTTGAGCTCGCGATCCCCGCGCCGGCGGGACCGGGCGGCCGGCGTCATGACCCTGTTCCATTTCGGGAACTGCTTCGCCCTGGCCTACTTCCCCTACTTCATCACGTACAAGTGCAGCGGCCTGTGAGTGCGGGGCGGGCGCGGGGCGGAGAGGGCGCGGGACCGGGCCAACCCTCACCGCCCGCTTCTCCAGGTCCGAGTACAACGCCTTCTGGAAATGCGTCCAGGCCGGGGTCACCTACCTCTTTGTGCAGCTATGCAAGGTGAGGGCCGCCCGGACCCCACGTGTCTGGCCCTTTGGCCCTCCGAGACCCGCCCCCGCTGCATATCCCCCACAGTGGGCCGCCCTGGGGACCCAGCATGGGGACGGCTCCGGAATACCTAGAGAGGATGGACTTTAGACGAGGTAGAACCCGAGATCTTGACGCAACTTTTTCATTGTACTTGTAGTGAAATCGAGAAAGGCTCAGTTGTATGGTTTGCTAAGAGGTTTTTTGATACTGTTAAGATCGGCAACTAACCCCCCAGGATGTCACACGGTGCCGCTGACACTGCCCAAGTTGCCACCCCAGCACCTCCAGACCTGACTCAGGTTCCTTGTTATCACCAGAGAACTAAAACTTCCAACCCCCTCAGTGAGTTAGGGTACCTACCCTGTAATCTTGCCACCGTCTGGTGGTCTCTCTCCACCCACTATCTCAATGTCCTGCCCTCCCCATGCACACTAACTTCCCACAAAGTCCATGTGGTTTGTCCCCTCACCCTCACCTTGAGATGACCTCTCCGCCTTTCTCTGCTTTCTGTTCTCAGATGCTGTTCTTGGCCACTTTCTTTCCCACCTGGGAAGGTGGCATCTATGACTTCATTGGGGTGAGTGGGACAAGGAAAAGGGGGGCAGTGCAGTAGCCGGCTGCCTGGCCCCTGTGCTTACTCAAGCCTCATCCTGACCCACAGGAGTTCATGAAGGCTAGTGTGGATGTGGCAGACCTGATAGGCCTAAACCTTGTCATGTCCCGGAACGCCGGCAAGGGAGAGTACAAGATCATGGTCGCTGCCCTGGGCTGGGCCACCGCCGAGCTCATTATGTCCCGGTACATGCAGCAGCCTGGAGCCCAGACTCCTGAGACAGGACACCTGGGTTTCGTGGGGGTACTGGACAGCAGGGGCTCAGAGCCTGGGTGCTGAGGGTGTCTAGGTACTGGAGAACGCTCCCTTTGCCTTCCTCAGCTGCATCCCACTCTGGGTCGGAGCCCGGGGCATTGAGTTTGACTGGAAATACATCCAGATGAGCATTGACTCCAACATCAGTCTGGTACGCAGCCCTGCCCTTCTACGTATGCCTTTTTGCTGGTGGCTGTGACCCCCACTGAGGCCTGCCTTCTTCCTGCCTCCCTCCAGGTCCATTACATCGTGGCATCCGCCCAGGTCTGGATGATAACACGCTACGACCTGTATCATACCTTCCGGCCAGCAGTCCTCCTCCTGATGTTCTTTAGTGTCTACAAGGCCTTTGTCATGGAGTGAGCTGGATGGGGTTTGATCCTGGGTCCAAATGGGTGGGGGGTATCTATTCTCCTTCCCTCATTGTGATGTCTCCCCACAGGACCTTCGTCCACCTCTTTTCCCTGGGCAGCTGGACAGCACTGCTGGCCCGAGCAGTGGTCACAGGGCTGTTGGCCCTCAGCACTTTGGCCCTGTATGTCGCTGTTGTCAACGTGCACTCCTAGGCTTGGTGTCTTAGACATTGACACACCTCTTCCCTGCCTCTCCAGGTTTTAGTGAAATAAATAATATTTGGAAAGTTGTTTCTGCCTCCATTTCTCTCTCTCAGGAGCCATCACCCAATACCATGTCTACCTGGGGCCCGGAAGCCCTCATTCTGGCTGCAGACCCAGGTGGACAAGCTGGTCAGCTAGCCAGTCTGCTGACTGTCCTGTGTGCCTGGAACCGTTCCTTGGGCTCCTTGTGTTCCCACAGTAGATGGGGGTTTGGGGTAGATGGTCTTTGAGCAGGGGTAGAGGCCGCTGCCCACATGGAACAGTTGGTAGAGAAGAGGTAGAGTCAGAGAGGGCTCTTGGGGCTTCCTTTCCTCACAGCCTCAACCTGACCTTTTTCACAAGGGGCCTTGCCTAGCTCGTTACCTCCTAGGCACTCAGCCTCCATCTTCTTCTGACCTAGCCTCAAGATGGCACCTGCCAGTTCTGTCTGAAACTGGGCTTTCCAGGGACCTGCTCCTGCTTCTGACTATTTGGAGCTCCTCACTGCATGGTAGACAGTCCAACTACTTGACCTTTGCCCTTGACTTTTCTGGAGCTATTCCCTGGGATGGTTTGCCCAGACTGATATATTTATTTATTTCTTCCATGAGTAAGAGAAGCAGAGAGACAGTATCCCAAAAGAACTGATATCACAATTCACTCCCAGCCTCAGCCAGCCCTGGATCACGGGCACACATATGCCTAGGAGGTCTTACGCATAAGACTTAGGGAGGTCTCTGGGCCCAAACCCAAACCAAGAACCTGCCCACATGGTTCAGCTATGCAGAGTATTGTGTTTTCCTGCTTTGGCACTGCCCAGCCCCCTACCAGATTCTTTACATTCATGCCATAGGGTCACTGTGGGGTAGATGGTCTTTGAGCAGGGGTACAGACCGCTGTCCACATGGAACAGTTGGTAGAGAAGAGGTAGGGTGGGGGCGGGGGATGTGCACACGGTGGCTCTGGGCTCTCTACTCAGTGCTTTGACTCTGTTCTGTGTCCCTCTGGTCAAATCTGGGCCAGAGCCTTCTTGGGTGGATATAGAGACAGATACAGCCAATCAGCAGTTGAGCCCAAAAGCTACCAGCTAGGGTATTATCTAGTTGGTGGGCTCAACTCTACCCTCCCCACTCCAAGCCCTTCCTTAGTCCAGTGGGACTAGCACCCTGCCCCTCCCTGAGGGGGTATGTCACAGCAGGCCTTTGAAGAACACACTTAAGCTCCACTTTGATGCACTCCTGCCCACCCAGGAAGGTGCCCCCCAGCCCTGCTGATCTCAGCAGAATCCCCAGAGGTAGGTTAGGGCATGCCCCTCCCTCCACCAGGCTGTTGAGGTTCTAGGTGATACTATTTAGCCTTGGGCCCAGGAAAGCACCAAGGACAGCTGTGTTTGGCTCTGCTGCGACGACGGCATCCTTGTTTTCAGGGAGAGCATTCACCCTCAGACGGGGCAGCGCCATCTAGCCCCCCCTTTCCTCATCACCCTGAGGAAAGACGAGGTCCAGCGGTCCAGGGAGTGGTTGATTGCCTTGACTTCGGTGTGGAACGCATGTAGATGGGCTCGTGCTCTCACACCTAGGCCCCGTGCCCCATCTAGCCCCTACGCTCTGTGGGACCCGAAGGTACCCAGATGATTGTCTGAAATAGTCCCGGTTTTAAGGATGCTCAGGAGACAGACAGTGCTTAGGGCTGAGGTGGGAGCGTACCAGCTAGTGAGCAGGGCTGTGATGGGAAAACGGGACATGGGGACCTATTGGAGCTGCCTGGCCCCACCTGGTGGCAGATGGGCTCCCCGGAGAGGGCTGTGTGAGCTGAGACCTGAAGGAGTTTGTGGGCCAAGGAAGGCCCTGAGGTCAGAGAGGGCCTGGATTTTCCAGGGTACCTAAGAGCCAGCTGGGACAAGTTCATGGGAGCTTGTAAGAGGCCAGGCCACATAAGTCTGTGAAGGCTGACTGAGGACTTAACCAGGGGCAGTGGAGAACCATGGAGTGTTCTAGGCAGGGGGACAACGGGCAGTTTCGGCTTTGAGAAGCTTTCCATGGCTGTTGTGTGGCCAGGAAGCCTGGGCTGGACCAGAGCAGGGCTGGCAAGTGTGGGAGGGGAGTGGCGAGAAGCCGAGTAGAGGTGTAGGTGACCATAGGGCTATGCCTTAGTGATCTGTAGGGGTGCAGTGTGGCGATGACAGGTAAGGGAGGAGCAGAGGAGTCCAGGCTAGCAAGGTTTGGGGCTCGCAAGTTCCCAAGGGCTCACTGTGACTCCCAGAGGGAAGGACCCATGCCAGTCGGACAGTGGTACTGTCTGAGGTTAGGGCAGTGCATGGGCACAGGTTTGAGGCATGCAGAGGTCGGTGTGGGTCACCCGGGGTACTGGGGAGAGCTTGAGACAGATGTGGGCATCACTGCAGGCAGACAGGCTGGGGGCAGGGAGTGGAGAGGGAGAAGCTCAGGGCCCAGCCAGAGAAATATGTTAAAGAAGGGAAGAGCAGCAGGCAGAGGGCACTGGGGAAAGGAGCGGTTGGGGTGGAGAAGGCACTGGGATGGGGGTCATTTCCAGCAGTTGGAGCAGTTATTTTCAGGCGAAAGGTGTGCAGAAGGTGCACCAGGAACCAGGCTGACCTTTGCGGGGGCAGAGGAGTGAACAAGTAGACCCGTGGAGACACCTGTGAAAGGGAGGGCAGCACAGCAATGCTCGATGTGGAAGAAGTTGGCCCTCTTGTGTTGGGTGGTGAGAGCAGAAAGCCCTGAGGGGGTGGGCAGGGGAGTGGAGGCCTCTGCCTCTTTC